AGTCTACTATGGAAACCAGGAAGATCCATAGAGAAGACTTAATATGAAGCCATTAAAGAATTTGAACTGAGTGATGTTGCCATCAGTCAAATATTCCATATTGCTGACCTCTATCCTAAACTAATGTAAAGCCAAAGACCACAAACTGCCAAGAGAAATAACAGGTATGTCCTAGAGAAGGTAAAACCAAGCTGCTCCTTGAATTTTGAGGTTTTGTCTCACATACTCTGGGCAGGCAGCAAGGAAGGACGAGTCTTTACAGAAGGATATCATGCTTGGAAAGGGGAGCAATGAGAGAAAGGAAGACCTTGGACGAGATGGACACACACAATGAATGAAGTAATGAGGGTAAGTGTGTCTAAGACTGTCACAAGACATAGTACGCTTCGGAGGTACTGTGTGTGCATTGGGTCGCTGAGTCGCAGTCGACTCAACAGCATATAACAACAGAGTGACAGAATAATTTTTCTTCTATGTATTTACTTTATGCAAACATATTAGCAAAAAAGGTTTTCTTTTACTTAGATCCAGAATCAATGCCCATGGAACCAGCAGTCAAAACACAAAAGCATACTGCAATGGGAAAAAATCTATTGTAAAAGAGTTCTTCAAAAAGTGTTAAAAAATAAAGTTTTCACCCTGAGGACTATCGTAGGTCTGGTCCAAGTCAAGGTATTTCCAATTGCTTCACATGTACGTTGCGAGGCTCTGGTTGCCTACTGAAACTGAACTACTATCCCAAAGACACAGGGTTTGAATCCACCCATTGGTCTGCAGGAACAAAATTGGTAATCTCATTCTGTGCTATTAATGTCTCTGAAAACCTGCTGGAGGTTGAGCTGTGAGGTAATTTCAACTCTACAATATATAACAACATATGTATATTAAAGGTGAATAAACAAAGATAAGGCCAAAAAACTGATGCTTTTGAACATTTAGATACATTAATATGTATGATATTAAGTAACCAGTATTTTTTTAAATTTCCTTCGCTATTAAGTTTCCTCTGGACAAAAATAGTATTTTTATGAACTTATTTCCCTGATAAATACTGATCTTCAAATATAAATAGATGGATTTGAAATTTACATATTACAATTCTTTATTTTGTTCATGGATGATAGCAAGACATCCATAAAGGAGTTATTTGACAAACATATTGCAAATTATTTTATATTATTCTTATAAAGCACTTGTTGTTGACACACTAAATAATATAAAACAGTACAAAAAAATCCTCAAGGAAGTCTATAATTTCTGCTAAGTGAAATTTAGCATTCAAATGACTGACTGAATACATGAATAGAAATCTTTTTAAGCCAAGTTTTCATAATATTGTGTCAGTGAAGTGACAACATGATTTTTAATTGATAGATAAGCTTAAGTCAGTCCTTTATTTCCAAAGAAACATCTGTACTGTTTTTAGACCTTGAGTAATGAATAAATGAAACTTATCTGTACCACAGCTTAGACTTAAAAGATGAAATACGACATAAGGCATTTGTTTGTTATGTGTCGTCAAGTTGCCCGAGACTCACAGCGATCATATGTACAACAGCTCTGAACCTGCTCTATCCTAAGCCATCCTTAGTGTCTCTGACACACATACCCCCATTGTCTCAGTCACTGAGTCAATCCATTACATCAAGGATCTTCTTCTCTTGTGCTGTCTCTCTACCCTCCCAAGCATATTGGCCCTCTCCAAGGACTGGTGCTCCTTGCAACATGCCCAAAGTATGTCAGGTGGAGATTCAGAATCCTTGCCTTCAAAGAGCAGCTCGGTTTCACCCTCTCCAAGCAAAACTTGTCTGTTCTCTTAGCAGTCCATTCAATACTCTTTTCCAGCACCACAGCTCAAAGACATCAATTCTTCTTCTATCACCCCAATTCACTGTCCAGCTTTTTGATGCATAGGACATAACTGCAAAGACCATGGTCTGGATCAGGTGCACCATAGTCTCCAGAATGACACTGTTGCTCTTCAGTACTCTGGAGATGTCCTTGACAGAAGACTTTCCCAATGCAATTCTTCATAGGAAAGTTTTATTTTGTTACAAAGCTATTCTATACCTTCATCCCTCATTCATTATAGTATAGACTAGCTTTGTAACAAAATAAAACTTTCCTATATTATGCCGAGGATAGGAGAATTGACGCCTTTGAGCTGTGGTGCTGGAGAAGAGTATTGAATGTACCATGGACTGCCAAGAAAACAGATTCATCCTAGAGAGGATTAAACCAGGCT